ATTTCAAAGATGATGCTGTGAAAGTGCTGCACTCAACATGCCAGCAAACTTGAAAAACTTAGCAGTGGCTTCAAGACTGGAAAAGGTCAGTTTTCATTCCAATCCCAAAGAAAGGCAATGCCAAAGAATGCTCAAACTACTGCACAATTGTATTCATCTCACATGCTAGCAAAGTAATGCTCAAAATTCGCCAAGTGAGGCTTCAACAGTATATGAACCAAGAATTTTCAAATGTTCAAGCTGGATTCAGAAAAGGCAGAGGAACCAGAGATCAAAGTGCCAGCATCTGTTGGATCCCCAAAAAAGCAAGAGTTTCAGAAAAACATCCACTTCTGCTTTATCAATTATGCCAATGCCTTTGACTGTGTGGATTACAACGAACTATGGGAAACTTTTCAAGAGACGGAAATACCAGACCACCTTACCTGCTTTCTGAGAAATCTGTATGCAGGTCAAGAAGCAATAGTTAGAACTGGCCATGGAACAAAGGACTGGTTCCAGATTGAGAAAGGAGTACATCAAGGCTGTATATTGTCACCCTGCTTATTTAACTTATATGCAGAGTACATCATGTGAAATGCCAGGCTGAATGAAACACAAGCTGGAATCAAGATCACTGGGAGAAATATCAATAACCTCAGATATGCAGATTATCATCTACCCTAGTAGAAAGTGAAGAGGAACTGAAGAGCCTCTTGATGAAAGTGAAAGAGGAGAGTGGAAAAAGCTGACTTAAAATTCAACATGCAAAAAACTAAGATCATGGCATCTGGTCCCATCACTTCATGGCACACAGATGGGGAAACAATGGAAACAGTGTTTTTTTCTTGGGCTCCAAAATCACTGCAGATGGTGACTGCAGCCATGAAATTAAAAGACGCTTGCTCCTTGGAAGAAAATCTATGAGCAATCTAGTCAGCATATTAAAACCAGAGACATTACTTTGCTGACAAAGGTCTGTCTAGTCAAACCTATGGTTTTTCTAGTAGTCATGTATGGATGTGAGAATTGGACTATAAAGAAAGCTGAGTGCCGAAGAACTGATGTTTCTGAACTGTGGTGTTGAAGAATACTCTTCTGAGTCTGTTGGACTGCAAGGAGATCAAACCAGTCAATCCTAAAGGAAATCAGTCCTAAATATTCATTGGAAGGACTGATGCTGAAGCTCCAATACTTTGACCACCTGATGCGAAGAACTGACTCATTTGAAAAGACCCTGATGCTGGTAAAGATTGAAGGCAGGAGGAGAAGGGTACAGAGGATGACATGGTATCACCAACTCAATGGACATGAGTTTGAGCAAGATCCCAGAGTTGGTAATGGACAGGGAAGCCTGGTGTGCTGCAGTCCATGGGGTCTTAAAGAGTCAGACATGACTGAGTGACTGAACTGACCTGATTTTAAACTCTGTGATTTGCTTTAAAGGAAAGAAGAAAGTAAAGGGTTAGAAAACATCCTTCAAGGAATAGAGAGGCAGATGTATGTAGAGAATGGACTTGTGAACACAGTGGGGGAAAGAGAGGATGAGATGAATTGAGAGAGTAGTGTTGACATATATACACTACCATGTGTAAAACAGACAAGGAGTGGCAAGCTGCGATATAACACAGGGAGCTCAGGCTGGTGCTCTGTGATGACCAAGAGTGGTAGAATGGATAAGGGATGGGAGCGAGGCTTAAGAGGGAGGTGATTTAGGGATACTTATAGCTGATTCACACTGTTGTATAGCAGAAATTAACATAGCATTGTAAAGCAATTATTCTCCAATTAAAAGAAAAAATAATCCTTCAGCTTCAAAGGATGAAGGTGTGTATTATGTAGGTGTGTATGCTAATTATAAAGATCCAAACTATTTTTAAATTTCCAAATCAAATCAACATGTTGCTGTGTGGATTGCCTAGTAGGCACTAAGGGGAGTTGACACTTTGGGGTGGTAGGAAAGGCACCGAACTTGATATCTCAAGTTTTGCTTGAGTCCTACCATAGATTGTTGCTGTGATCTCTGCAATGCAACTCTGAATTTCACCTGTGTGTGTGTGTGTGTGTGTGTGTGTGTGCATGTCCACCTGCTCAATTGTTTCTGACTCTTTGGGTACTCTGGGACCCACCAGATTCCTCTATTGGGTTTTCCAGGCAAGAATACTGGAATGGTTGCCATTTCCTCCTCCACAGGATCTTTCAGACCCAGGGACTGAACTCGTCTCTCCTGCATTGGCAGGCAGATTCTTTACCACTGAGCCACCTGGGAAGCTCAAATTTTACCTGTAAAATGAACTGAATACTCATGGAATATGATTATTGTGTCAGAAAAATGAAATCACATTTGTAAAATTTTCAAGAAACTACAAATGACAGTCAAGTGTTCAGAGCCCAAGCTCTCCTGACAGTCTCAGTTTGAACCCTCACCTCTCTCACAGCTCATAAGACTCAAACATATGACTGAATCTGTGTTCCTCTACACCTCATTTGTAGTTTGATGATATAAATACTTTATGCAGGTCAGAGGACTATGGAGAGGGATGAAAATGAGATAATGCAGACAGTGTTTGGCAGATGATAAGCACTCAATATTTCCTAATACTGTTGTGGTATGTTTATTGACATTCTCCAAAATAGGCATATTCCATGTCTATTGCTATTTTCATTCTACCCTATAACTTGATGAGTTCTACTTTACATGGAAGAAACTGACTGCAAAGTCTTCCCTGTTAAGCAGTTGACAATATACCTTATTTCTCAGAAAATGACTATTCTATGGAAACAGTGAATATATTTGAGAATTTAAACTAGAGTCGATGTGATAAGGGACCATATCTGATTGACACATTTCAATGAAACTTCACAAAAAAGGTATAAGCTCAACTGACATTTAGCTGTGCACTAAACAAAGGATATTTACAGAAAAGACCATAACTGAAATCACGGCTATCTTCGAAAATCCAGAATATGAAGTATCTGGCTCTATGGACAAAAAAATACCCTGAACGCAGGAAAATGGGGTGTTCAGAGAAAACTGTGCCTTTTAGAGACATAGTATTGGGCATTTAAAGTAGTTGGTTATTGAAGCCAGTACACTCCAACCCTGGAAGCAAGTGAGAAGACAGTCTCTCCATTCATGGTGATGAAATGAACAGACATTCTGCATGTATCAAAGAGCAAGAAGAGCACCTTCATCAAAAATTAATAAATCACTTCTCAGAAACAACTGAATCACAGATGAAGAGAGTTCATAATCATATAAAGCACATAACTATCCCTAGATTCTTAATCAATTTTCTTTTCCACTGATCAGCTTAGCTCAGAACGATTTTCTTTGTCAACTGTTTTTGAGTATCCCCCTTACTCAAAGAATTACCTATACAGCCAATCTCACCTATCAATCAATGTTAATATAAAAAGTGTAATTAAACTTCATTTATAAGATGGGCAATTTACAACTTATAATTCTGTTCAAATGCTGCTATGAAAATAATATTTTTAATTATAACTGAATTATGTTTTTTAAAAGCCTTAAAATGTCATCTCTAGCATGCTAATAAATGCTTGAGAATTATTTGAGAACAATTAATAAGGATTATTTGAGATGTTTCAAGGTTGGTATGTTGATAAACATTTTAATGTCTTCAAATATATGCAAATTATAAGTGACATTTGATATCCCTGCATAATAAAGTGTTAAGGAAGGAATAAAGTATCATTCTTCAGCTTCTATATTCATGACTAAACATTTTCATACTAAACTTTCATGCATTCCATTGTTTAATGTTTATAAAAACCATTGGCTAGAACCTTAAAGTACTAGTTACAAAATATATTGTCTTTAACATACATACACATTTGTTATTCACCATGTTAATTAGCATAGCCTCATATTACTGACATTGGCTCTTTATAACACATCTAAACTATTGCATAATCTATTTATGATGAAGACCACTGTAGTTAGGAATTTTAATTCTATTAATTTATTCAGGATTTCATAAGTAACAAATTCAATGAAAATAATTGGCAAAATCATTCACATACAAAGATGTACTGATTTAATTGCTTGGGCAGGCAACATAAGCATTAGGAGTTGTTTAAGTTCCCCAAGTGATCCTATGTGCTACAATGCTGGTGAACCTTTAGGATGGGGTAAGCATCCTCATTGGGATTGGGAGGCATGAGCCATTGGCTAATCTGAAGGATCACTCATCCTATTCAAGAAAATTTCTAGATTACAGGGTATGGGGATGGGGATAAGGAGGGTCCTGGGGCAACTCTTACACAATTGCTGCATAGTTTGTAAAAATGTGCAGATGGCACAATTTATTGGCCAAGGCATCCAGTGTTAAGATGGATATCTGAAGTTTGGTCAACCGTGCTGATGGCTGAATCCTGGCCTTTGTGAGCAACTTCAGAGTTAAGGGATGGGATGTTGTTTCAGTACATATATGGAAATGAGATCATCCATAAAGTATACTGACTCCCATTGTTGTCTGCTTGTGCAGGCTTGCTCAGTCACTTAGTCGAGTTTAACTCTTTTCTGACCCCAGGGACTGTGGTCTGCCAGGCTCCTCAGTCCATGGGATTTTTCAGGCAAGAAAACTGGAGTGGGTTAGCATTTCCTCTTCCAGGGGACCTAGTTGATCCAAAAAGACTTCCCAGGCAGCAAGGGGTAGAGGGGAGGGGAGAACCCTTGCAGCATTGTGCCATCTGCCAAGGGTTTGAGGACAGGGAAGGCCACCTCCTTCCCAAGGTTTAAGTCATTCTAGAGCTTGTAGGGTGCTGCTTCCATGACCCAAGGCATAATGGGCAGCTAGATATGGAGGGTCACAGGACCAGGGGTTTTAAGAACATCTATTCCCAGGAAAGGACAGTATATGGCCAGCAATTGCTGATCTAATAGGGCCTAGGAGGGCAGTTTGTTGCATCACAAGACCATGGGCAATTTACCAACAGAAGGGGCCAGAGACTCTATGAGGCACAAAAATAGGTTACTAAAGCCTGTGCAGTGAGGATGTCATGAAAGGCACTAACTGGAGTGTCCTTGAATTTCAAATACAAATGATTCTAGCGCCTTTATTTGGAGGGGGGCCCATTCCAGGTGGGCTGATTGGTAAGTCAGAGTATCAAGTGATCAAGTAAAAGTTGTGAATAAGGACTCCATTGAGTCCATAACCCAACAAGGGCTAAAAAATGATAAGATGCGTCAACCTTTTGGGTTGGAAGAGCGTCAATACCTGTTTCTTGACATTGTCATGATGGAGAAGCCCTCAGTTTACTGAATAATTTTCAGGAGTTGAAAAGAGGTGGCAGGGCTTGTATTATGTGTGTGGCAATAGCCCATATTTTTTGTGAGCTCCTTTGTGAGTATTTGTATGTTCTTAATCCGTGTGCCTAATAAATCTCCTCAGAGGAAAATGTCATCAAAGTGGTGTGACACCTTTGCTCTTGGAGGAAGGTGAATGTTAAGATCTTGCCTGCAAAGATAGCAAGGCTGCTAAGAAACCTCAAAAGTAAACATAAATTGTATCCCTCTAGAGGTGAAGGCAAATGGCAACTAAAAAATTGTTGAAATAGATGATGAATTAGACATATTAGCTAAATTGATAATAGCAAAATGTTTACCAATTGCTGAGTGGATGGAAATACTAATTTTGAAAATATTTGGGTATTGGCCTTAATGGATGGGACTACATTAAGGCTGCAATGATGTACCAGGACATGCATGCATTCACTCATTCCTTCTGGGTTTAATAACAGGCCACAAAGGACTATTAAATGAAGAGGGAGGTGGGATAATCACCTTTTCCCTCACTAGATCTTATCAGTCTCAAATTTTGAGGCCCTATTTTTATTTACATTGGGCCCTATTAACTATTGATATTTTAATTGAGGAGGGTGTGGTCAATGGGGCCCCATTTTGTCAAAGCAATTTGTAAGTGTAAAAGACTTCATTTTAATTTATCACTCATTAGGTCAGAGCATCTTGCTTACTGTTGTCTATTTTAGGGTAATGGGTAAAATAGGGAATTAAGGCAAAACAACAGTTCCAATGGTTAAGTCATACCTATTGATTATTTTATATGTAATAACTCTTTGAGGGTCATAGGGGGTGCCATGTTAATACTTAGCAGGATCCTGAGGTATAAGTAATTTCAGACCCAGTAGTAAGGTCATGAAAATGTGTCCATGGTTGCATTTCAGCAGATACTGTAGAGGTTCAAGAGCCAATCAGCACACTACATACATTATTTGAGTAAAACTGGACTTCTAATTACATCAAATTATGGATGTTTCTTTCAGTTTGTTTTCCTTTTCTTTTTTCCTTTCCCTATACATAGGTTCCTGTCCTCCTTCCTTTCCTCCTGTCTCCTTCTTCTCCCTCTCCCTCTTTTTGGTTGGTCACTAGATACAGTTGGCTTTTTTTGTTGTTGTTGTTGGGGGGGGGGGTGGCTCTCTACCCTACTTTTATTTATAAATTTCTTCCTCCAGAGGTTCAAATCAGTATCAGCAGGCTTAGCTCCCACCTCCAAGGTGATGGTTGCTTTTTAGGATTTAAGGTCCCAAAGCTTAAGGCGGGTTTGAATGAACGCCTTTGCTGTGCCACAGGAATGTTATGGGTATTCTCCCCTGTAACTCTGAAAATCGGGATCTTTGCTGTAACAGAAGCATAGGCAGCAGGAGGAGAAGAGGTATTTAAGGGTCCTGCTGCGCTGTCTGTTATTAGGTATGTGAATCACAACATCCCACCTATTGGCTTTCCTCTCTATATTCAATTTCCCTCAGAACATTTTGTATCTCCAGCTACAAAAAGTCATGGGTTTCAGTTTCTGTCTCAGTCCAATTATGCGTAATGCAGATCTTCAGGGGTTGTGGGAAAAGTGGCTACCTCTTCCTGTAGGGAATGCTAGTCTATCTCCTAGGAGTCAGGGTTCACATCCAAGAGGCTAATTTCGTCAGTGGCCTGTCTGAGGGTCATTGAGCTTTGTGATTGTCAGATTAGCCCTTTGGCATCCTGGCAGTCAGCAATACTAAAGAAAGCTGAGGTACCTTGGAAAGGGTACTTTGCAACAGGAGACCAGTTGAGCTACGTGCTCTGGTGTTTTGGGAGGGGCTGGTACAAAATGCTCCCCTAATTTTCCTTCCTTACCAGAACCTGGCCGCAGGCCTTCCTGGATTTGAACCTTGATACATTTGGGGTTCAAGAGAGTGCACATGACACGAGCAAGGGAAGCAGCAGCACAGGAGACAGGCACGATCTCTGCCTGAGCAGTGAGTCTTCTTAAGCGACTGTGGTGCCATGGTTAACTCTCCTGGGATGGTGGTGTCCTCCTTTTCACAGATCTCACAGAGCTCCATCCCTGAGCCTACGCCAGAGGAGCACGATCACACACAATATCTACATGGTCGCCCCCAAGCTGCCAGTTATGATCACCAAGCTAGATGCAGTGATCCAACTGCTCTAGCTGGATCCTTGATAACTGGAACTCCGGAGCCAATCAGTTAAGGTGAGCTGACCCCACCTTTACAGGGAGGAGCTGCAGAGACCACCTGTTAAACACAGGTCAAACCCAACAACATGTCAAGCTACGGTTTAGTAAATTAACAACAATTCTTGTCTTGGCAATGAGAGCTTTTTAGGGTAGAAGAGTTGGCAACATTGACAAAGACATAAAGTACACCCAAAGCATAGGTCTACAGAAACCGGCAGTTCTGCTTCATGGGGCTTTTCACATAGCATGGAATTAGCTGTCCATGAGAAGTTCACTAAAGCTGAACAAATGCCCTTAGTGATGATTGGGACATATTGTTCATCATGCCATTGGTTTAACTGCATCCTTTTCACTCAGTTGGAAAGGAGGGAATCTACCCCAGAGTTATGGGGATGGTTACATACAATATCCAATACCTGACACTGAAGAGATGAGATTGGCAGCAGTTTATTAGTTGCATATGTTCACAGTCCAGGGTAGGAAGACACTGCATGCCACATGAAGCTAAATGCGAGCTGCACCCAAACAGAATAAACAACCAGGGGCTGTGGAAGGCAGGCCTTGTAGAATCAGGAGAGTGAGGTAACCCTGGTTACTGTGAGACAATATAATTGACTTTTTCCCCTGAGGGCAGGGAAATGAAACCCCTTACTCAGAGATAAGGAGGAATTGTGCCTAGCCCTCTTAATGAGGAGGGACTAGGGAAACTCCTTGGAAGAAAAATTATGATCAACCTGGACAGCATATTAAAAAGCAGAGACAATGGAGAAGGAAATGGCAACCCACTCCAGTGTTCTTGCCTGGAAAAATCCATGGACAGAGGAGTCTGGCGGGCTGAAGTCCATGGGATTACATGACTGAGCATGTGTGCACGAGGGTGGAGGGAGATGGGCTGGTAGCAATAAACTGGTAGAACTAAAAAATAATAATAAATAAAAAAATAAAAATAAAAAGCAGAGACAAAAAAAAAAAAGCAGAGACATTACTTTGCCCACAAAGGTCCGTCCAGTCAAGGCTATGGTTCTTCCGGTAGCCATGTATGGATGTGAGAGTGGGTCTATAAATAAAGCTGAGCACTGAAGAATTGATGCTTTTGAACTGTGGTGTTGGAGAAGAAGACGACTCTTGAGATTCGCTTAGACTGCAAGGAGATCCAACCAGTCCATCCTAAAGGAAATCAGTCCTGAATATTCATTAGAAGGACTGATGTTGAAGCTGAAACTCCAATACTTTGGCCACCTGATGCGAAGAGCTAACTCATTTGAAAAGACCCTGATGCTGGGAAAGATTGAAGGTGGGAGGAGAAGGGGATGACAGAGGATGAGATGGTTAGATGGCATCACCGACTCAATGGGCATGAGTTTCAGTAAACTCCAGGAGTTGATGATGGACAGGGAGGCCTGGCGTGCTGCGGTCCATGGGGCTGCAATGAGTCAGACACGACTGACCAACTGAACTAAGGGGAACCTATCTATGGGAACAGAAAACTTGTGTTTAAGCTATGAACTTGTGTTTAAGCTATCTGAGTCCCTTCTAATTTCACTAGATGTTAAGGCAGCATATAATATTGCACCTTAATTTTAGGCTCAGTATATCAACATTATGGTGATTTAAAAAACCAACATATTTGCAGACTTTTTATTGAGTGCCTACTGTGTAACAAGCATGTTTCAGCAAACAGAACTAAGATCTCTATTCACACAGAGTTTCCACCTGGTGGCATGATTCTTTCTGAACATTCCTTTAGCACATATATTGTTATCTGTATGCAAATTAAAAAAATGAAGTTATCTTGAAGAGGAAAAAAAAAAAACTAAAATAGTTGCTTAAGTTTACTGCTATGCTCACTGCTCACCACTTCTGTAAACTGGCCTGCTTATCGCTGCTCACCACCTCTGCTTCTGTGAACTGGCCTGCTTACTGCAGTTAGCCAAGCTGCTTAGGCAGGAAAGTCACTAAGGCCCAGAAGCCCGTGCCATATAAAAGATACCCAGAGAACAGCCCGGGTGCTCAGCCTCTGGAGGCGACTCCACTGAGCCTGCACTGGTGCTAAACAGACCCTGCTGTTCTTCATCTCTGAGTTCACTTGTCTCTTTCCATTGCCAAGGTTTCTATAACAATTAACCTTTTCTAATCTCTTAACGAAGAGATTTCCAAAGGTTTGATGACAAGACAACTTTCTAAAGACCTCAATTTCCCTTCACTTTCTGTTTTTCAGGTTGTTGAAGCAGCATGATAACCTGAACTGAAAACACAAACACCTTCCTCTAAGAGTCAGCAATGTTTTCTGATCAGGCTGCTTGAAAATATACAAAGGTTTACCTCTCCTCCTTCCCCAAGTCACAATTAAACAAAGGAAAAAAATACTAGCACAATATATCCAATGAAGCATTTATTACTATGAGTATTTAGCAAAGACAGATCAGAAAAAAAATAAGAATTGGCTTTAAGACATAAAACTTTCAAAAAGATATTAGTGGTGAAACATAAAAGAGCAGAGTCTTGTATCTTTTAAAAAGTGAGCTTCTCTGGGATTCACTGGCCAACACCAACTGGATATGTAGAGGCTGGAAGAAGGTAATGCAGGTAGAAGGCCATGAGCAAGGAAATTCAATTAAGACTAGAACCTCAGAGGGTGTCTGCCACCCAGGACAAAACCTGATGGAAATGCAGATTCTAACCCAGAAGAACAATGGCAGTGCCCAGGAAACTTATAACCTGGACAGGATGCAGCCCCAGAGACAGAACACAGCTCCCTAGACCCCCTTGACCCCTGTCCACTGCTCTTCCACAAAATGCCTGGAGGCAGGGGTCCTAGTCCCAGGATCCACATTCATTACTACTTATTATATGATGAGTTTTTAAGTGGCACATAAATAATCTGTGATTAACTATCTACTGGGATGGCCAGATCTTGCCTCAGGTAGGTTCATCAGTCAATTCAAATAACACTGTTTCTCATGTATTTAGCATACCTGACTGTTGTATTTATGTCTAAGTGTGACTTCAGTGTAAGATCCCCTGGAGGAGGGCATGACAACCCACTCCAGTACTCTTGCCTGGAGAATCCCAATGGACAGAGGAGCTTGGCAGGCTACAGTTCATAGGGTCCCAAAGAGTCTGAAGTGACTCAGCATGGACATAACACATATATTGCTTGAGAGGTTTTTTGTTGTTGTTTGGCTGTGTTCTTTAAAAATATATTTTTTTTCTCAGTATAATGAATAGTTTCCTTTCTCACAGGGTTTCCCTGTTGAAGTTCTGCTTAGGACTCATAGCCACTACAGTTTATACATGAATTGTTTCCCAAAGTAGGCAATGAAATTGTGCTAATCAAATTGCATCAATCTTTTAAAAGATCTGACTACCCGTTACTAAGTACTCATGGATACCACTGGAAAGTAAGGCAAATCTGGGCGAAAAGAAAACGGACAAAAGTACACAGCGGCAAAAAGGAGAACGAGTAAAAAGTAACATTGTAAAGGGAAGAGTTAAGAGTATCATTGATAATTGCTGGAGCCTCTGAGGCTTTAGTATACTGAAGTGGACTATTCCTGAGACGGCCCCTGACTGCCCCCTTGTGGCTGGTAGGATATCCTTCAGCGCCAACACAGTCTAATACAATTTCACTTAAAATGACAAGGCAACCTATATGGATTGCGCTGTGCTTTCCTGCCCCTTCCCTCTTGATGTAGCAGAATACTGTTTTTCTTAGAAGACAGATCCTCTACAAATTTCTGTCACACTCTCGACTACAATTGTAGCCGGATAGATTTGAGTTGATAATGGACAGGGAAGCCTGGAGTGCTGCAGTCCAAGGGGTCACAGTCGGACAAGACTGAGCGACTGAACTGAACTGAACTGAGACCTAAAGGGAGCGCCCTCATGCCCTGTCAAGCATCATAAATTTCTCCCAACAGGAAACGACAATTGCCTACATCTCCAAAAGGACAGGGCGCTATTTAAAATACAGCAGGAAGAAGAAAACTTCTCTCCGGTCCACAGATCTCAGCCAATCAGAGATTAAGCACAGCCAATTAGAAGACTCCCATACTTTGGACTCCCAGCTTCTCCAGTGGATCCTTTGGTTATCACACACGCTCTCATCTTCCTCCTTTTACCTACAAAATCAAGTTCCTCTTCCTAGTTCTCTGAATTTGCATATGGTCCATCACAGTGCACATACCCTGAATTGCATTCCTCTGGCTATTCCTAAATAAACTCACCTTTGCTGGTAAAATTACTGGCTATTATTAATGTTGACACTATAATTTTGCAATGGACAACCCTTTACAATCCATGGCCAAAAGAACCGATTATCTCAAATACTCTGTTCTGAAGATTGAGACTAAGGCCCATTTCTCCCCGTAGAAGTAGTAGGAATTTCCTCAGGAAGCTTTGCATCTGCCTTTAAAATGTGCACACAAGTGTTAATATATCTGACAGCCAACAATTCTTCAGGCCCTGAGGTACAATTAGAAGCAATGTCACAACCACTGCCTTCATGAAACCTGCAAACTAGGGGAAGAAGTTATCAAACAACTGCACAAATAAATGTGAGCAAACCTACCGAGATAACATGTAGAAAAGGAAAAGTTTTCTTGAAGGAAGCGACGTCCCATTAGCAAGCAGGCAAAAGAGGCGGGAAACGCATTTCACTAGAGGGAGGCTTTATCCGTTAGCTACAGCCCCATGTTTCACTCGATAAATCTTCCTAGTGAGGGTGGAGAGAAAAACAAACCATTTTCGGAACTATAACAGCTTGCCACCTGGGGCGGCCTGAGAGCCCTGCGAAATTCGGGAAGCTTCGGCGACGCCTCCACAGCTGCCCTCATCTCAACTCGAAGTTCTCGCGAGGTCTGGAGATGAAGATCAGAAGGTGCGCACCTCGCCTTGAAGTTCTCGCGAGGGCCGCACGCGAAGATCAGAAGGTCTCCATGTGCACATTGGCGGTAGTGCGGGACGGCAGTTAGAGCGCGCGGCGGACCTGGCTTGGGGGCCCAGGGATGCCGCGGTTCCTCTATCTGTGTCTCGGGCTCCTGCTGGTTCGAGTCTCCCGTGAGCTGAACGACATTAGCAGAGCCAGGAAATTGTGTGGCCAGCATCTACTGCACGAGATAGTAAAACTCTGTGGCGATGTTAGCTGGAGCCACATTGAGAAGGAGAAGCCGTTCACACAGCTGCTTTCCCAGGCCTCAGAAAAGGTTGAAAGCTTCATCCCTGACCGGTCAGAAAGCTCCCAAACCACTTTTCCGGTCTGGAGGAGAGCGACAAACCCAGGTAAAAATCTAAACCAAAGGCATGTTTGTACATTTCTTATTCTCGAATTCGCTCTGCCATACATTGACCTTCAGGAAGTGGAGTTTTTGCCTAATATACATACACACTCTGTGAAGCTTTTTTGTTTTTTTTTAAACTTCGAGGAAAGAAATGCACACATGTAAAGTCTACAGATTTGTATAAGACTGTTGGAGTTTCCCAGTTTTCCCTTCTTGCAATGCCCTTGTCACCTGGCAAACTCCATTTCCTTTAAAGCCTAATATAGGTATCATCTTCCCTGGGAACTTGTGGCTCAGACAGTAAAGACTCTCCTGCCGTGCAGGAGCCGCAGGTTCCCTGAATGGGGAAGATCCCCTGGAGAAGGGCATGGCAACCCACTCCAGTATTCTTGCCTGGAGAATTCCATGGACAGAGGAGCCTAGCGGGCTATACAGTCCATGGGGTTGCAAAGAGTCAGATATGACTGAAGCTACTTGGCACAAATACACACACGAATGTATGTTTTATATGAAATGCCTAGCAGAGGGCCAAGCATAGAGTATATGCTTAATGTATATTGAATTTATACAAAATGCTTTTAAACAATCTTTAGGAAGAACATTTTTTTAGATCCATTCTTCTGTTTTTACATTTTGTGGCTAATGCATTTTAGTCCCAATACGTTTGCTGTTTTAAAAGAAAGTGCACTTTATTTGTAAACAGGTGTCTAGAGAGTATAGTTTAAGTCACTGCCTTTTACAATAATTCAGTTCTGATTTGGGCAAGTTTTGTGAAAGTCAAGATTTCTGAAATTAAAGGAAGGAGTAGACTATCATGTCAAAAGAGAGACCCTAATATAAATGAGTAAAACAAACTAAAACATTGCCTAACACTTTATGAGTACTTACTCTTTTTTATTGTTTTGTAGTATAGTTGGATTACAATATTAGTTTCTGGTGTAGAACATGGTAATTCAAAACTTCTATAGATGATATTACATTTAAAGTTATAAAATGTTAGCTATATTCTGATATATTCTTTTTTAATGAATGAATAAATAACACCTATAAGATTATTGATGCTAAGGGCATGAAAACTTTTTTATTAAAGTATAAGTTGATTTACAATGTTGTGTTAGTTTCAGATGTACAGCAAAGTGACTCTGAGTCCATCCATGTTGCTGCAAATGATATCATTTCATTCTTTTTTTATAGATGAGTAATATTCCATTGCATATATATATACTACATCTTTATCCATTTGTCTCTCAATGGATGCTTAAGTTGCTTGCATGTAAATAATGCTGTTATGAACATTGGAGTGCATGTATATTTTCAAATTAGATTTTATTTTTTCCAGATATATACCTAGGAGTTGGATTGTTGGAACATATGGTAATTTTTTAATTTTTTAAGGACCCTCTATACTGTTCTTCATAGTGGTTGCACCAATTTACATTCCTACCAACAGATAGGAAGATTCCCTTTTCTCTACACCCTCTCCAGCATTCATTATTTGTAGACTTTTTGATGATTGACATTCTGTGAGGTGATAGCTCACTGTAGTTTTGATTTCCATTTCTCTGTTAGTGATGTTGAGCATATTTTCATATGCCCATTAGCCATCTGTGTATCTTCTTTGGAGAAATATTTATTTAGTTCTGCCCAATTTTTTATTGTTTTTTTAATTGAGCTATATGAGCTGTTTGTATAATTTGGAAATTAAGTCCTTGTTGGTTGCATTATTTGAAAATATTTTCTCCCATTCTGTAGGTTGTCTTTCATTTTGTTTATGGCTTCCTTTGCTCTGCAAAAGCTTATAAGTTCAATTAGATCTCCTTTGCTTATTTTTGGTTTTATTTCTATTGCTTTGGGAGACTGACCTAAGAAACCATTGGTATGATTTATGTCAGAATGTTTTGCCTATTCTCTCTACTAGTTTTATGGTGTTATGTCTCATATTTAAGTCTTTAAGCCATTTTTAGTTTATTTTTGTGTATAGTGTAAGGGAGTGTTCTACCTTCATTGATTTACATGGGGCTATCTTGAGAGTCCCTTGGACTGCAAGGAGATCCAACCAGTCCATCCTAAAGGAGATCTGTCCTAGGTGTTCA